ATTTTTATATATATTTAATATCTTTTTTTATAAACATTAATACAGAGATTTCATGACGAATTTTAAGCACTTTGGTTTAAGTCAATGACCTTTCATTTTTAAGTAAAAATTATTCAGCAGATTTGATACTATTTACATATAATATTTTAACTTGATAGAATTAATATTCGTGTAGAAATAATTTTTTTTGTAACCTTATTAAATAAGTTACACTTTTTTGACTTCACAAGGAAATTTGAGCACTTTGATCAAAGTCAATCACCTTCTATCTCTAAGTAAAAGTTATTCAATACAATACTATTTATATCTAATATTTTATATTAACTGGATTAATATATTCATGTAAAAATATTTTTTTTTTGTAACTTTACTAAATAAATTACACTTTTTTAACTTCACAAGAATAATTTGAGCACTTTGGTCAAATTCAATCACCTTTTATCTCTAAGTAAAAGTTATTTAATATAATACTATTTATATTTAATATTTTATATTAACTGGATTAATATATTCGTGTAAAAATATTTTTTTTTCGTAACTTTACTAAATAAGTTACACTTTTTTAACTTCATAAGGAAATTTGAATACTTTGGTCAAAGTCAATTACTTTTCATTTCTAAGTGAAAGTTATTTAGCAGGTGCGATACTATTTGCATATAAAATTTAATCTCAATTGAATTAATATTTATATTGTAATATGTGTTTTTGTAACTTTATTAATATCACAAACCTTTTTTTTTAACTTCACAGGATAATTTGATCATTTTAGTTAAAGTAAATCACTTACTATACATTAAGTAAAAATGTTTTATATATCTGAATCTACATATATATAAATTTTTGTTTTATATGATTTAATATTCATTGAGTAATAGCTTTCGTAACTGTATTAATTCACAAATTTTTTTGTTTTTTTTGAATATTATATTTGTGCAATTTATTAAATACTATATCAATATAATGTATATTGTGAAATTATTACACTTTATAAAAAAAAAGTATTAAATAAAAGTAGTTAAAAGTTATTATTTTGTTTTAATAAATTTAAAAAAAATTTTTTTTATTGATTTTTATTGTATTTTTAAGATTATATAAAACAGTAATTTATATAATAATTAAATATTACAATTACAGATTTTCATGTAGAATTTTATTCTTTTTCAAATGTGCTTTTTAATTATAATAATTAATGATAAATTTAAATTTTTTATTAAAAGTAAAGTTCACTTTGAATTTCATAAAATGTGTGCAAAAAAATACTTTCCCACCTGTTTATTATAATTTTTGCTTTATACTTTTTAGTTATTTACGTATTCTTATAAATGTTCCAATCATGTGAACTATTTACATTACACCTAATTGTCTAAAAATAGCTTTTATTTGTTTTTTTTATTTTTTATTTTTTAAACGATAAATTGAGATAAAACTCTTTCCGCTACCATGCTATGACCAAAGAAAGAGAATAATAAAAACTAACAAAAACAACAACCTCGCTCTTGCCCTGATACTCCAGAGCAACAACCAAAGAAAAAACAAAACACCTTACAAACTGTTGAACCTGAAAGCAGTATGTCCACCAATAACAACAACGTCGAAACTCTACTTATGAATGTCGACCCTCTTTCGCTTGATAAAGGAAAGAGCAAAGAAGTTTACAAAGTGAAACAACCTTAGTTGTTACTACAGAATAAAGTAAAATGAACATTGACAACGCCAACGATGCCTCTGAAAACTTTTTGAACAAAAAGAAGAACTCTCAAGATATCTTTATAAAAAAAACGAAATTTTTCGCTTTCTTCCCAACAGACGACTACCCTGAAAAATTCTCTCAAACAAAAGTATCTGACATCACGAACCTGGTGTTTAATAGATTTGATTCATTCTCGGGTATAATCCTAGCCAAACATCCAGAAGACCAATCAAAAAGTATACTTAAGGCAACATTTTCTGACAAAGACGAAAGGAACGCGTTCTGTAATGTCATCTTACCTAATGCACATTTTTGCCCTTGACATTACATCAAAACATCCGTTCATACCACAACAATCAATCAAAGTTACAGAGATTCCATTGGACGCAACGGAAGTTAGTTATAATAAACCTTTTTATAATAAATACTAGATATACAGTCAATACTTTTTATAACGAACTGTAATTCTATTAAAAAAAAGTTTGTTATATAAATTACTATGTTTTTTATATAACCATTATACTTTTTATAATGAACTATTATTAAAATTTAAAAATTATAAATTCATTATATCTAGTATTCATTATAAAGAAATTCATTATAATCAACTTTAACTGTAATTAACTAACAATTTTTAAATTTTAGAATTAAGAAAATCTTTTCCTAATTTGGAAAGATCGTTAGATTCACAATGGAAACAAAAAACTTATGGCAACAAGCCACTATTACATTCAATAATAATGCCAATTTTACAGAACTTCAACAAGGTCATGGTGTCTTCATCCTTAATGATATAGTGCGATTCCATATGTGTAATTTATCAAGAGACCAAATACTTGAATGATCAAAATATTCGGCCAAGCTCACGTGTCTTCCACGTTACACTATAGGCAAAGATCTATCCGATCTGGGATTGATGATCAACGCGACAACCTGGATCATCCCTAAGGCTAGATCCAACTACAACAACCTGCAACATGCCTTTTTCTACTTCACTTTAGCAGAAGACCACAAAGCAGCAATCAGCAATAATAACCTCATGATCAATGGTAAACGGGTGGAATGGACAAGTAACAAAATGAAATTATGTGCTATCTGTTCCTCTCCCCAACACAAAATAAAAGATTGTCTCAAAAAATGAAGAATACCTAATGATAGAAATACACAGAACCTATACCAACGATTCCAGCCTGCTCAATATAATAACTACAAAGCTCTATTCCACCCTAGATAAGGAGCGGTCAATCTGAACGTTATGTTCGCCAAAATCATCAAAGGAAGACAAGAAGAAAAACCTTCACCCCCAACAAAACCTAAATTTGATATTTCCAATAACGAAGATGGATCTTTTACGTTAAGAGGTCCGAACAATATTCCACTCTCTTCTTGGGCTGATGACGTTCTACCAGATATGGATATTATCAATAATACACTTACTCCAATGGAATCATGTGATATAGCCGCTGGCACAAAAGCTGGAGGCTTCATACATGAGACATTGAATGTAGAGGCTGATTTCAAAACATTTATTAAAGACAGCTTCCAACAGTTAGCCCAGAAACTCGAAGATTTTACCATCACCATGGGTTCCGTCATGAAAAGAATGGACACCATTGAAAACACCCTCAATATCAAGGTTATAGCTCCAGATAAAAATATGGAAGATTCAGATATGATGTATGGCTATAACACTCTGGCTATAGATACATCCAATACGGTTATCAATAAACAATGACGCACTATTGAGGCACTTAAAGAGCTTAACGATGCTCAAAATCTACGGTTAAAGCATTTTACAAAAACAGTAAATGGCTTGGTAAATTCGTGTAATGCATTCTGTTCGATTCTCGTCCAAAACAATTTATTACCAACAGGAAAAATAGCAGAAATATTGACCCCCAACACTAACTATGATATAACTGCAGATAAGGCTCTAAAGAGCCTTCCTCAATTTTAAATCATATAATCATGATTATTGTCTTTACAGATACTAATAATGCTTCAACATCTTCAAATAATGATAATTTCACACTTCCAATAAACATTTCAAATCTTACCTTCGCTACCCACAATGTTAGATCACTCACAAATACGGCTAAACAACACTTCCTTCTCTTCTTTTATTCCGCATATAACATAGATATCATTGACCTTCAAGAAACTAACTTTAAACAAATACATGCAAAGAACTTCAACCCAACTCATTCCTCCCACATCTCATTTTTCAGTTCAACATCAAGATAGAGAACGGCCTTTGGAGTTGGACTCATATTAAAGAAAGACATCGCTCATCATATTTTTAAACACGATACAAAGCTAGATCGATTGATTTACGTAGATTTGCAGTTTGCCAACAAACAAAAACTACGCATCATTAACTGTTATTTACCACCCGTAGATTTAAAAATAAGACAGGAAGTCCAAAATATATTTACCAAATGGATCAAAGAAGCTTTATCCCTAGATTATCATGTGGCTGTACTAGGAGATTTCAATGCTGATATAGACCATCAACATAACCTAACAAATGCACTCAAATACTTCGACACATTACTTAGAATATCTATGTTTGATGCCTTTACCCTCAAATATGACTGTGCAAGAACCAGCTTTCCTTCGTACACAAACAGTCAAAGCATCTTGAGAATCAACTACGTATGGACATCAATGGAACTTTCTGTTAACATATTGGATTGCTACACCATTCTGATAGCTTCAGAGATATCAGACCACCTGCCAGTCGTGACAAAGTGTGCTAACTTCTTAGATATCAAGTTTAACAGACGGAAAATAAAGGTGAAACTTAGTTTTGACTTCAACAAAATGGATGATCATAAATGGAGCAAATTTGGAGCTAAATTTGATGCACTCCTAAACAGCTGTTCACTGAAAACTGTGAACGTTAACATTTTTTGGACACAAACATTGCTCAACAAACAGTGGGATCAGTTCCAGAACCTACTGATTAAAGCTGCTGAATCGACAATTCCCATCTGAAAATCAACAGGACAATTTAAATATCCACGACCCCCTAGATTGTCCAAACTATACAGTCACACCTCGATATAATGAAGTTGCTGATCCAGCCAATCAGGACTTCGTTATAAGAATCTTCGTTAACGCTATAACAAATTATGCGGAATGTATAACGAATAATTCGTTATAG